TCTAAATATAGCTGGTTGTTTTCTTCGTTCCATAGACCCTTACAATCTTGGCTGTAGTCCCCCTTCAACGACGTCACAAACCGCCAAGCTCTACTACCCATGCCCTGACTTATCTCCTCTATTTTGCTATTGAAATTATCTTTTTTATGCTCTTTTTACCTCCTTTTTCCATGTTTTTTGTTGCTCGATGAGACTTTCCATGTTTTTCGGACTTGGACACTGCTTGACTTTTTAAAGGCAATAATGAGAAATCTGTAAACTTTAGCCAAGTCTTCATTCCACCAGGATTTTGGTAATCTATTGTTTTTAGTATTCAAGGTCGCCTTATCGATTTCTTCTTGTATTTTGGACTCCAACGCTTGGACATTCGACTCACACTCAACCTCTCTCAAAGCCTCAAGGAGTTTTCTTTTGGCTGTGAACTTTCTTATGTTTTTTGCTATTGCATTCGTTTCCACGACTATAGGGAAGTGGTGACTTCCGCCAATACGCGTTTGATCCACTGACCATTTGCACCGCATAGTGCTGTTAGTGAAAGTCAAATCAAGCACAGAGCCACCTGTCGATCTCATGTCCCTTTTATAGGTAAGACTGCCATCATTAAGACTATGAAAAAAGGATTGTTGAATGGTGTTAGTCAAATGTTTGCCATCAAAAAAACATTATTAAAAGGTTCAAGAAACAATAATATCCTAACCATTGTTGAAATCCCTAATACTGAGGTTAGTTGGGAAGTATGAGCTACAAATAATGATATCAGGGTCGCTGCACTATGTCCATATCGTTGTAAAGCTCATACAGCTCATCGTTCCATCGTCTGCGGTACTCGCCGTCGCCAACGCGTAAAGGCCCGTAAATCTTCGGCAAAATCTTTCTCTCAAACACTCCAAGAGCCGCCTTATCGGATGTTGTCATTGTCCATGCTTCTGCGCCATATACCAGCACGGGCATGATGTGTGACTTATAGAGCGTGGTTTTCGTACGTCGAGAGAGGACTTTACTCCTGAATTGCCTACTCAGTCCAAAGTAGCACTTGTTGGCAAGAGTGATTCTACGTTGAATTTCAATGCTGAAATTAAACGAAATTCTCTACTGTCTCGAAATTGTAACTGTCAACAGTGACGTGGGTGCCAAGGCGCGAATGTGCTGACTGTTTGTTTGATGACAGGAGATACCTCGTCTTGTCCTCGTTTACCACCAGACCCATTCGCTTTGCTTCCCTATCCAACTTGGAAAAGGCAGAACAGACTTTGCGGTTTTTGTTACCGATGATGTCGATGTCATCGGCATAAGCCAGCAATTGCACACTCTTGTAATAAATTGTTACTGAGCGGTTCAGTTCTGCAGCTCTTATTATCTTCTCCAACATCAGATTAAAGAAGTCACATGAAAGGGAGTCGCCCTGTCTGAAACCCCGTTTTGTGGCGAACAGCTCGAAGAGGTCTTTTCCAATTCTGACGGAGCTGGTGGTATTGCTCAACGTCATTTTACACAGCCGTATGAGTTTTGAGGGGATGCCAAATTCAGACATAGCGGCGTATAGGCAACTCCTTTTAGTGCTGTCAAAAGCGGCTTTAAAGTCGACAAATAGATGGTGAATGTCGATCCTTTTCTCGCGGGTCTTTTCCAAGATTTGGCGTATTGTGAATACCTGGTCCATGGTGTGGATTTGCCAGGTCTAAAGCCACACTGATAAGGCCCAATCAGTTCATTGACGGTGGGCTTCAGTCTTTCACACAATACGCTCGATAAGACCTTGTAACCTATGCTTAGAAGGCTGATCCCGCGGTAGTTGGCGCGAATGGCGGGGTCACCTTTCTTGTGGATTGGGCAGAGCACACTTAAATTCCAGTCGTCGGACATGCGTTCATCTGACCATATTCTGCACAAGAGTTGATGCATGCACCTTATCAACTCCTCGCCGCCGTACTTGAATAGCTCAGCTGGCAGGCTGTCAGCTCCAGCGGCTTTGTTGTTTTTCAGCCGCGTTATTGCTATACGTACCTCGTCATAGTCAGGCGGTGGAACGTCGACTCCGTCATCATCGACTGCGGGCTCGGGTTCTTCTTCTCCACAACTTTCCGTGCTGCTACCATTTAGTAGGGCGGAAAAGTGTTCCCTCCATAATTTAAGTATGCTCTGGACATCAGTTACTAGGTCGCCATTATTGTTCTTACAGGAGTGCGCCCCGGTCTTTAAACCTTCCGTAAGTCGCCTAACTCTGGTAAAATTTTCGGGCATTCCTCCTGTCGGCCAGCATTTCAAGCTCTTCGCACTCACATATTTCGGACTCTCTCTTCTTATTGCGACAAATACGTCTCGCTTCCCTCTTCAGATCCCTATAGCGGTCCCACATAGCGCGCGTTGCGGCCGATCGTAGCGTGGCCCTGTAGGTTCGATCCGGAGACAGCCACGTAGCTTGATGGATCTTTTTATGCTTGAACCTAGTACTGCATACTACCATGTTTCGGGCCCCGGCGTAGTCGATCAGCCTCAATCCGTTGTCGGATGTTTCGTCGTGGAGGCTGAATTTTCCGACGGTGGTTCCAAAGATCCTTTTCTTGCCCACCCTGGCATTGAAGTCGCCAAGCACGATTTTGATATCATGACGGGAGCAGCGCTCGTACTTGTGCTCCAAGCGCTCATAGAAGAGATCCTTGGATGCCTCATCCTTCTCTTCCGTCGGGGCTTGGGCGCAGATGAGCGAGATGTTGAAGAATCTCGCTTTGAGGCGGATTGTGTCTAGACGCTCGTCCACCGGGGTGAACGACAGTACTCGGCGACGGAGTCTCTCTCCCACCACAAATCCAACTCCGAATTTGCGCTCCTTTACATGGCAGCTGTAGTAGACGTCGCAAGGCCCCAGACATTGATCGCCTTGCCCCGTCCAACGCATTTCTTGGATGGCGGTGATGTCAGCTTTTGTCCTTACGAGGACATCAACCAGCCGGGCAGAGGCACCTTCCCCTTTAAGTTTCCGGACATTCCAGGTGCATGCCCTTAAATCGTAGTCCTTTAAACGTTTGCCGTGGTCGTCATCATAAGGGGGGGTCTCATCCGAGGCTTTGCCTTGCTTCTTCAATGGAAGTGGTTTTTACGTGGCGGGTCCCAAGCCCAGCGCACAACCCATTGCTGGGACGGGGGTGGTTTCGCAACCAAATACACAAGCAGACACCCGCTTGCAGCCGCACCTACTGGTGAACAGACGCTGCAGACTTCAGTGAGCCCTTAAACCGAACAAGTCAGATTGGCCCCAACGAAGCTCCCGCTCTTTCTGCCCTGACCCACGGCTCCACTCGGATTGGTTACCGCATCTCGCACATGGGTTGCTCACGTTGCCCAGAGAACGCAAGAGTCGGGATTAAGTATAGCCATGCAACTGTAACTGCATACCCAGCGCAACGACTATACCCC